ATCCCAAGGCAATTTACTGCCCGAGGCAAAGGAAAAGAGGGCATTTTCTGGTTGCTCTGTCTTGCTCTGCAGCCAACCCTCCCAACCCCTGCACTCCTTGACATTTGGCCCAAAGGCTGTTGTTTGGCCAACCTGTGCCCACCTGCCCATATACAACATTAACCATGGGGCAGGTAAAGACACAGCTGGGCATAAGTTGGGTTGGCAGGCCCTGCCAATCAGCTAAGTGGTAGGAACTGCAAAGCTTTCTGGTCAGCCTTTTGGAAGCCCCAGTCATCTACTGATGGTCAAGGCATCTCTGCACAGCACTATGTGAAAGCAAGTCACCCAACATCACGTGATGTCATGTGACTGACAGGAGAGCAGCCCCACCCACTTGTCAAACTTGGTCACTGGACGTCAGAGGAGGGGGAGGGGAGGAGATGGTGATCCAGTCCTCTGGTCAGATGTAGTTCCCTGCCTCTACAGCAAGGAAGTTATTTCCTGCCTTAAAAAATAAATATTGCACCAAAGCACAAAACTCAAAATAAGAAAGAGATTTTTTAAAAAAGAACAAGCAAGTGGCAGTCTTGCTTGCTGTTGTTCCAAAAAGGAAACAAATACAGAAAAGTCATATTTCAGAAATATCAGCAGCTGGGGGGAATTATTTCAGGAATTGACTACCTAAAGTACTGGTTTCAGTTTTGCTCTTCATCATAAGAAGCACAAACCACCCAGCAGAGAGGTTTGTGGAATGAAAATTGTAGTCCAAAGCAAACATTTACTTCTGGGTAAACATACTCGTGGTGTTGAGCACGGAGAGAGAGACCGCAAGGTTTTTGGGTGATTATATTGCTTTATTACATGTCACGATGCAGAACCGCAATTTTAATTTTGCATCCTATTGATTTTATTCATTTACTTACATTATTTATGCCCTGCTTTTTAAGGCAAGCCTCCACAAAGAGGCTTACAATGTCTTAATGAATACAAAATATAATTTGTCAGAGCAACCCAATCTTTCAGTTGGGAGCATTAGAGCAAAGTGACAGATCCAAAGACCTGCCACTCTTGAAAAGCAGGGTGCAAGATTGGGGGGCGGGGTAGGGTCTGAAGAGAGGAAGAGAAATTCGATTCAGTTCGTATATAAAGACAAAGTCATCTGATTTGCCCTTCCCAAAATAGTATGCAAACCAAAGCCCAGCCATCTGTCAAAACTCACACTTCTTCAAATTTTGCAGCATAGTTCTCTAGTCAAGTAATGTGTAAAGGAATGCAGATACTACATGCTGAAAATGGAACTAGCATTAAAATGCATTACAGTAGGGAAACTGCTAAGCAGAGACGGGCATATTAGGGGAAATTGCATAGAAAGGTGTGTATACTGGGGAAAATTCTGTCCCGGATGCTGATGACTTTCCATGATGTATTGTTGTTTTTTTAAAGCAAACTAATGGCATTTCCGTGTGCTGATCTGGTTCGCCAGAAGCGGCTTAGTCTGCTGGCTACATGACCCGGAAGCTGTACGCCGGCTCCCTCAGCCAATAAAGCGAGATGAGCGCCCCAACCCCAGAGTCTTTCTTCTTGCAGTCCATGGGACTCTCAAGAGTTTCCTCCAGCACCATAATTCAAAAGCATCAATTCTTCGGCAATCAGCCTTCTTTATGGTCCAGCTCTCACTTCCATACATCACTACTGGGAAAATCATAGCTTTAACTATACAGACCTTTGTTGGCAAGGTGATGTCTCTGCTTTTTAAGATGCTGTCTAGGTTTGTCATTGCTTTTCTCCCAAGGAGCAGGCGTCTTTTAATTTCGTGGCTGCTGTCATCATCTGCAGTGATCATGGAGCCCAAAATCTCTCACTGCCTCCATTTCTTCCCCTTCTATTTGCCAGGAGGTGATGGGCCCAGTGGCCATGATCTTTGTTTGCTCTTGGTAGGCCCCTGCAAAAGCTACTGAGGTGCTGGCTCCATGTTTTGGAGAGCTCTTGGGCAAGACACCCTCACAACCAGAGTCTCCAGTTGCTCCTCTTGTTCCTCATTGTTGCTGCCACCTGCTTGCTGCCTTGCTAGGCAAAGAGCCAATGAGCATACAGGCAGTGACATTGACTGCTCCTTCTTCTCACCAGCATTATTGCCTGGGTCAGCAGGAAAGGTGAGTGACCAAGCAGGTTGCAATGGTGAAGAAGAGGGTCCAAGTGGGCACTTGCCAGTAGGGCCCCTACTGTGGTGTGGGCCCTTGGCAGATGGCCAACCACTCTGACCCTTGAGGCCATCCTGTGCTCCTGCAGGAGGGGGACACTGCCAACCCCTGGAGCCTCACAGCCCTCTTCATCTGCTCTTTCCAGGTGTGAAAGCAGGGACAAAGAGTGAGGAGAATGAGCTGCGTCCTCCACTCTCCCGCTGCACAGTTGTGCAGATTGGGCCCAGGGGTAGCAGGCAAGTGAATGGGCTGCCTGGCACCTTGCTCGCTATGCCACCATGACACCTTCAGAACATGAAACTAATGGGTTGGTCTCCAGTATACTTCAGAGCCATCCTCATGTCCCTGGCTAGAGGGCGTCATTACTGCTATTGGCTTTGCAGATGATTTAAGAGGTTGACAGGGCTCCCGTATGGCTTCAAATCTGGGCTTGCTCCCCTATTTAAGCTGATATTAGACTGCCCTGCCCTCACCAGCCCTGAGAGTAGATGTGTGAAGACTGGAGCAGCTGTGTCTCTGAGTAAGCCTGTTGGCCAGGCCCTCATGGAGATGACTATAATTAAGTGATGTGTAAATTGTAGGGGGGGAGATGGTGGTGACCACACTGGAAGCCCCGGTGAGTGGCACCTCCTGGGAGAGGACAGAGTGCAGACAAAGTAGATGTCAATTCCAGGGAGCCCTGCTAGAATGCATAAGCTTCAGCAATTGCCCGAGAATTCAGGATATTATTGCCTGGTGCTATCTCTGAGTGCCTGTTATTTTTGTCCATGGAGTTTTCTTGGCAGGGATACTGGAGTGGCTTGCCAGTTCCTGCTCCAGGTGGATCGCGTTTGGTCAAAACTCTCCACTATGACCTGTCCATCTTGGGTGGCCCTGCACAGCATAGCTCATAGCTTCTCTGAGTTATTCAAGCCCCTTCACCATGACAAGGCAGTGATCCATGAAGGGGAAGTGAGAGCTGGACCATGAAGAAGGCTGATCACCAAAGAATTGATGCTTCTGAATTATGGTGCTGGAGGAGACTCTTGAGAGTCCCATGGACTGCAAGAAGATCAAACCTATCCATTCTTAAGTAAATCAGCCGTGAGTGCTCACTGGAAGGACAGATCGTGAAGCTGAGGCTCCAATACTTTGGCCACCTCATGAGAAGAGAAGACTCCCTGGAAAAGACCCTGATGTTGGGAAAGATGGAGGGCACAAGGAGAAGGGGATGACAGAGGATGAGATGGTTGGATAGTGTTCTTGAAGCTACCAGCATGAGTTTGACCAAACTGCAGGAGGCAGTGGAAGACAGGAGTGCCATGGGGTCACGAAGAGTCGGACACGACTAAACAACTAAACAACAACAAAAATCTCTGTGTGGCATAGCTCCTTTGTAATAAAGGATGAAATACATCACCAATGAGGATAAAGGAGTGCACCGAATCACATAACATTTGCATCTGCTCATTTATATCAAGAGATGCAAATTTAGAAATAATTATTACAGTTCATAAAGAAATATGTAATACAACTTATCATAATGGGGAAGATTGTGTGTCTGCTCTGTCTGCTTCCTATTTTATGGTTGATGAACAACTTTAAGGGCTCTGCTCTCCCTTTTGTATTGATTTCTTTAGACTGGATTTGGCCTGGGCAGCCCTTCAAAAAGGAATTTATTTTGTAAAGTAGGGCACATGGCCAGCCTACAATTAGGGCGGAAGATAAGGAACCTAAGGCTGCAACAGGACAACTTCAGCCACCCTCCTGATAAATAGGGGTCCTTGACTTCTGAAGTGGAGCATGGTGGAACTTGTGTGGGAACTCCTTACTTATAGCGAAAGACATAATTTACTTCCAAGTTTCTTTAAACTTGAAGGGTGCTGTCACAAAGCAGTGATGAATTTGTGGGTGTCTCTTATGAATGACAGACTTGATATTTTGAGACTGATAACAGCGAGGAGAGAAAATGAAAACTTGCCCAATATTATTCTTTTTTCCTCTTCGCCAAACTTTTCTTAGGCATTGCAAGTATAGGCCATCGTAAAACACCATATATAAAAAATTTAAAATATATACAAATAAACATGTAAAATATGTAATAGTGAGGATTTTCATTGGAATTTCTTCCCGCTAAATAGTGCCATTCGTCACTCTGAGAGATACTATTGACAAAAACTCAGCCACCCTTGCAGTTACTACTGGGTTAATGTCAGACATATAGAATCCGATATTTTCATGGTGCTGTGATGTTAGACTACCCAAAGCAAGGGATAGCACGCATGCCCAATATTATTCATCTTCTTATTGAGGAATCCCTGCTAAGCTCCCAAAGAGTCCCAAATTTCCCTGAAATGCAATTTTAAAAGCATTGCTTTGAAATACTATGAAGAACATAAAGTATATACAGTGGTACCTTGGAACTCAAACGGCTTGACTCCCAAACAAATCGGCTCCCGAACGCTGCAAACCCGGATGTAAGTGTTCTGGTTTGTGGATGTTTTTCGGAAGCCGAGTGTCCGACGCGGCTTCCGATTGAATGCAGGAAGCTTCAGCCAATCAGAAGCTGTGCCTTGGTTTTCGAATGGTTTTGGGAGTCGAACAGACTCCCAGAATGGATTAAGTTCGAGAACCAAGGTACCACTGTACTACAATAATAAATACAAACTATTTACCACCACCACCATCCAGACTAATTTAAAAGAAGGTATATTTAGTACAGCTAACTTGGTACAATAGCAGAACCGATTAAATTTCACTTCCTGTTTTGAAGTTTGTATATTTGTTTCTGGTGTCCTGGTTTCTTTTTCAGTTTTCCACTGACCGCAGTGAAAGTTCCTTGCTTGGAGGGGTTTTTATCCACAGCTTCAGAAGTGGACAAGCCCATCCAGAAGATGGAACTGATGGACTATATGCTCGAGGCAACCTCAGATTATGATCCAGCAAATTATCCTTCTGTCGAGTCGAATGTGTGCGAGATGGGGTCTGTTTCCACAATTACGAATATGTTTACCAGCATCCTGTATTCTCTCATTTTTCTCTTCAGCCTGCTAGGAAATAGCCTTGTCTTGTGTGTCGTAATGAAATACGAAAGCCTCACCTCCTTAACAAACCTCTTCATCGTGAACCTTTGCATCACTGACTTGACTTTCTCTTGCACGCTCCCTTTCTGGATTGTGTACAATTATTACGGATGGATTTTTGGCGATTTCCTCTGCAAAGCTGTGACTGCCATTTTCTCTATTAGCTACTATGGTGGTGTCATCTTCCTGACCATAATGACAGTCCTCCGGTACCTGGCTGTGGTGGATCCCTTGTCATCACTGAGAACTCAGACAAAAAGGTGCGGAAAACTGTTGAGTTTGGCCATTTGGGTGTGCAGTGTGTTAGTTGTGGTTCCTGAGATTATTTTTACCCGCGTAATACCTCACAATGGCGTACAGTACTGCGACTACGAAGGGGAATCTATTTGGAAGCTGGTGGAATTGGGCCAGCAATCTGCCTTCTTCTTATTTTCCTTCGCGATCATTGCATTTTGTTACATAAGGATGCTGAAGATCCTGCTTCGACAGCGGTCTCAAAGGAGGCACCGGACCGTAAGGCTCATATTTGCTATAGTGCTGGTCTTTTTCCTGAGCTGGGCACCTTATAACGTGCTTGGTTCTGTGTACGTTTTGTCTTTTCAGCAGTACATTGTCCTACCCTGCGAACAGTACAGGCAAGTTTTCTTTGCTTTCGACATCAGCCGCAAAATAGCCTATGGCCACTGCTGCCTCAACCCGGTGCTCTACGTCTTCGTCGGAGTGAAATTCAGAAGGCACCTGAAACTCCTGTACAAGCATTATTCCCCTTGCCACAGCAGGATCCCACCTTCCAGCCCCAGAGCTCATTCTTTTCACATGAACCCCTACGAGGATGCATCAATGTACTGAAGAAAAGGCCACCTGAAAAAGGAAGAGTCTAATTGACCCAGCTAGCCTAACAAATAGATGAATGGCCACAACAACAACTGTCAATTTGCAACATCTTCTTCTTCTTCTCCAGAGGAGGGAAGAGAATTGCTTGGAATTGCTTCTGTTTTGCCAATAACATATATTGGGGATCAGTCTTTTCTCTGTCTTTACCTCTGCTAAAAATTTCAGAACTATAAATAAGAATCTGTATCCATACAGGATAAATCGACCGTCCTTTTTGTTTTCAAATAGTCAAATATTACTCTAATCCCTGAAATGTTTAAATGATCCAGGTATTGTTGTGTGATAAATCAAAACTTGAGATATTAGTAGCAAGCTGTTTCCAAACAAGGGGGTGGGTTTAATATTGTAAATATGTCACTAAGATATTGAATGGGTGTTGCAGCAACATGTCTTGCTATTTTTTAATTATTCGGGGGGTTTTCTCAGAAAGGCTAAATCCAGGTGAAATAGTGGTGGGGAGGAGATGCAGGTTGCCATTTTGATGCCAAGGAACCTGCAAAAACTTGCATACACAAGGAGCTCCCATCCCACAATAAACAGCCATATGCAATTGCATATTTGACCCAACATATCTACAAACACATGGAAACTCCCAGACATGAATTCAAATCTTGCATGCAGAAATTAAGAGGAGCAGAGTTTTGTCTATGTGCTGTTATATGTGGACAAATTTGAAGAAGGGGGGTGGGTGCTATAGTTCAGTGGTAGACTCAGATGTTTTACATGCAAAAGGTTTGATGTTCAGTCCCTGGCTTTTTCAGGCAGGGCTGGTAAGAAGACCACTGTCTGGAGAAGTGATTTCTGTTAATGCAGACAATGCTGAACTAAAGAGAAAGACCGAAAGTCCGACTCAGCATAAGGCAGTTTTTTGTTTTCCAAATGCAGGCTGAAGTTTTCATTCAGAGTTAGGATAACGGTTTGACCATTAAGAAAACCAACTACTAATTTGCAGCACTGTGGTTGAAATATGTCCCTCTTTGGGTTCACTTGAAATGGTGGCAAACCCTTCCACAATATAACCTCTTAAAACTTGTTTAGTTCTACAGTGATACAGTATATATAGAGTTGCTATGAAACCTTCATATATATATATATATTTAAAAGATCTGTACTTTTGCATTATGAATCCCTGATAATTGTAGAAAGCTGTTTATTTCCTATTTAAGGCATTTTAACCATCACAGTTTCCATAATGAAAAGGGTTTAAAATGTATACTCCATAAGTACAATGAACAAGTAAGCGAAAATAGCATTATTTTTAAAATTGCATTGTTTTGGGTTTTTTGCTGTTCCTAATAAAGTGTTTTTGAAAACTAAAGATGTGGTTTTTGAGCAGCATTTTATGCTTGGACATGGGCTCTGGTCACAGCTACTGCCAGTCAACATGTCCCCAAATAGATTCAGGTAGGTAGCCGTGTTGGTCTGACGCAGTCGAAATAAAAATAAAAAATTGTCCAGTAGCACCTTATAGACCAGCTAAGTTTGTTCTGGTATAAGCTTTCGTGTGCATATGAAGAAGTGTGCATGCACACAAAAGCTTATGCCAGAACAAACTTAGTTGGTCTACAAGGTGTTACTGGACAATTATTTATTTATTTATTTTATTTTTATGTCCCCAAATAGTTTAATTAATCTTAGGGCTAATCCTCCCATGATAGCAGCAGTAGCAGACCATGCATTCCTTGGAGGATCTGCTGTCCCTGTGGATACTGCCACCTGAGGCAGTTCTCTGACCTTGCCTCATGGGTAGGCCAGCCCTGGCTTATAGAACAGGAAGAAGTGTAGGAGTAGCTGAACAGTTCAACGGAGGGATATGAGAAGTGGGGTCCCCCAAGGACTGGCATTGGGGCCTGTGCTTTTAAACATTTGTAAATGACCTGAAGTTGCAAGTGGACCGTGAGGTGGCTGGGTTTGCTGATTATAACCAAATTGTTCAGGGTTTGTTGTTGTTGTTTAGTCGTTTAGTCGTGTCCGACTCTTCGTGACACCATGGACTAGAGCACGCCAGGCACTTCTGTTTTCCACTGCCTCCCGCAGTTTGGTCAAACTCATGCTGGTAGCTTTGAAGACACTATCCAATCATCTCGTCCTCTGTCGTCCCCTTCTCCTTGTGCCCTCCATCTTTCCCAACATCAGGGTCTTTTCCAGGGAGTCTTCTCTTCTCATGAGGTGGCCAAAGTATTGGAGCCTCAGCTTCACGATCTGTCCTTCCAGTGAGCACTCAGGGCTGATTTCCTTAAGAATGGATAGGTTTGATCTTCTTGCAGTCCCTGGGACTCTCAAGAGTCTCCTCCAGCACCATAATTCAAAAGTTCAGGGTAGCAATAAACTAAAAAGGGAAACCTCAGAAAATCATAGTGATCTAGCAGGCCTGTGTGGAGGAAGGTGTTCTTTCAGGTAATCTGATCCCAAGTTCTTTAGAACTTTATACAGTACGTTAATAAAAACACCTTAAGCCTGGTTCAGTAGCAAACTTTCAGCCACTGCAGGTGTTTCCTCTCAGATGTTGCGTGCATGGCCAGATGTCCCAGCTCGCTACTGTGTTCTGCACCACCTGCAGCCTCCAAGGTAACCTTAAGGGCGGCCCAACACACAGTGAATAGCAGTAGTCAAACCTGGAGGTTATCAGTGCATTGGTTACAGTGGCCAAGTCGTTTCTTTCCAGGAATGAACATACCTGGTGTTCCAGCCCCTTCATGTCATGCACAGACACCCTTGACAGAGATGTAGCTAGGTGTAAGCAACTAGCTCTGAGAAACAGAGCTGTCATCAGCTTCTTTATGACATCTCCCCCTAAATCTCCTCATTACCTCCAACAGTGCCTTCATATAGATGCTAAATTGCATAGGACAAAACAGTATCCTGTGGCAGTATCCTATACAGTGGTACCTCTGGTTAAGAACTTAATTCGTTCTGGAGGTCCGTTCTTAACCTGAAACTGTTCTTAACCTGAGGTACCACTTTAGCTAATGGGGCCTCCCGCTGCTGCCGCTACGGGATTTCTGTTCTCATCCTGAAGCAAAGTTCTTAATCCGAGGCACTATTTCTAGGTTAGTGGAGTCTGTAACGTGAAGCATCTGTAACCTGAAGCGTCTGTAACCCGAGGTACCACTGTAGTGTATAATTGCTGAGGTACAGTCACCCAATGCTACTCTCTGAAATCTGCCCTGCAGACACAAGTTGAAACAGTCGTGCGGTGTCCAGTCTCCACAACTCCCAGTCCATAGATCTGATCCAGGAGGGTACCAATGGTATCAAAAGCCACTGTGAAATTGAGCAAGAGGATCAGGACCATACTCCCTGTTTACATTTCCAATAAAGGTAATTCATAAGGCAACCAAGACCAATTCCCATCCCAAAACCAGACCCAAATGGGTCTGGTGTGGAGAACAGTTTTTGTCTACTGGGCCAGATCACAGACTCTCCAAGTGTCCCTATTTTTCAGGGACGTCCCTGATTTAGAAAAGCCATCCTGGTTTCTGACTTGATCCTGGAATGTCCCAGTTTTCCTTAGGGTGCCCCTATTTTCATTGGGAAAACGTTGGAGGGTATGGAGTTATCCGCCCCCCCCCCAAGCCACCTGAAGGCAATCCTGTATAGGGAAGCTTTTTTAAAAAAATGTTTAATTTTTTATTACGTTTTTATACATGTTGGAAGCTGTCTGGAGTGGCTGGAGCAACCCAGTAAGATGTGTGTGGTATAAATAGTAAAATTATCTTTATGGAATGGGATGTCCCTATTTTCATTGGAGAAATGTTGGAGGGTATGAGATCAGTATCGCTGCAGGCCAACTTTGACAGGTGGGCAGGACCACCCATCTGCCAGTCATCTGCCATCATGATGATGGCAGGTGACTGATACGTGAGCAGTCCTGCCCAGCTGTCAAAAGTAACACCCCACCCCCAGTGGGGAAAGTGGTCTACTTTGCTAGTGCATTTCCTACAGCAGCAGTACATGAAAAGAGTGTTATACAGTGGTACCTCGGGTTAAGTACTTAATTCGTTCCGGAGGTCCGTACTTAACCTGAAACTGTTCTTAACCTGAAGCACCACTTTAGCTAATGGGGCCTCCTGCTGCTGCAGCGCCACCAGAGCACAATTTCTGTTCTCATCCTGAAGCAAAGTTCTTAACCTGAAGCACTATTTCTGGGTTAGCGGAGTCTGTAACCTGAAGCGTATGTAACCTGAAGCCTATGTAACCTGAGGTACCACTGTACAAGTTTTCTCCTTAAGCTCTGGATACATGTTTTAAACGCAGGAAAATACTAGTAAATGACCTGAGGATTGCTTCTGCTAGTTGAAAAGCAAAGCAAAAGTCTGTGACTGCTTACCACAAGATGTTAAGATGGTCAAGGGCATCCAGCATGTGTGGTGAGGGACCACAGTACATCTTATCAACTTGATACCGTATGGTTTCCGTTCCTAGTTTTCATAAACATTTTTCTTGAGAATCCACAGCCTCCCACAACCCAACTGGATTTTAATGCTTATCACTTCTCTCCAAGCATATACTGTAGCAATGATACGAGAGAGATCTGTGACTGTTGGCTGAAATTTGCGAAACAAAATTATTCAAACTTTAAAAAGAACGAAGACGGGTGCTAAAAATATACACCTCAAATGTCAAAAGCCATATGTATACCTCAAGCTTCTTCAGCCTTCACTGAAAGCTTTGCAATGAAAGTAACCTTGAAAAAGGGCAAGGCTGTCCTATTAACTTGAGTAAGACACTCTGGAGGTGACGGGAGGGACTTATCCTGGCCAAACAGTAGTACCAATAGCATCAAGTTTACCTGAAACTGCCATGACTGAAAGGGAGAAAAGAAAAAGAGAAGTCAAAAGAAAAGAAGAACTGGGCAGCCCACACCCCACACTGGACAACACAAGTGAGAATAAGTCACAGGAAGTGTTAGACAGGTTTTATTTTGTCTTGATGTGTTGTAAACAAAAATTGCCCTTTTCCCTTATGGGGTATCCAAGAGCCCATATAGAGTCCTTACAAAGGTTCCCTATTGGTAGGAGAAGATAACAGAGGCCAACCAGAGAATAATGAGAAGCAAAGCAGCTAGTAAGCTTGATCTTTATTGATCTGTTGCAAAAGGGTGCTCCCTCACCCGCAGGAGAGAGGAGGAACCCAGAAAAATGGTGCGCAAGGCCTTATAAAGACTTTTGAAATTGCCACCCTGTAGATCAAGACCACCCCCAGAAACATCATAAATACATCACAGAAGGGGTGTAACCTAAGACCACCCCTCAGATACATCACACCTACATCACAAAAAAGGCGGTCTTAAAACAGAAATTTGAATGTTGTTTTTCTCCTGTCGTCGTTTATCTCCTGTCTGGCAGGTTACTTGATTGGATTGCCCGGGGAGCCTGGCCAGTCTTTTGTAATGATAAATACTTAGTTCCTGGGCCAGGTCACAGGCTCACACCCTATTCATATCTTAAATGTGCCCTTAAGACAGGATTTGTGAGGAAAGAGACAATGGGGAGGTTTCCCACTTTGACCTTGCAGAGAAAACATTTGCTCAGTTTAGGAATCAAAATGGTTCCAGGTTGGTCTTCCCGTGCTGATCTGTGTACGTGCTTGGTTAGTACATTTATGAACATTTCCATATATCTAAGACCTCAAAATTCCTACACAGATGCATGCTTAAAAGAGAACAATCAAGACATGGAACTTGATGCATTACTGGCCTATACTGAACTACATGTATGTTCCTCAGTCAGAGATGAATGAAATAAACTCTTTTTTGAGTCATAGAAAAAACAAACATCTCCCAAAGTTTTACCTGCAGATTACAATTTTACGTAACAACGCATAACACAAGCCAGTGTGTGCACGTTAGCCTGTCAAAACAGGAGACCCAAGTTCAAATCCCCAGTCGGCCACAATGTTCACCTTGGCCTAGTCAGAAGGTCTTACTCCAACCTGCCTCACAGGGTTGTTGTGAGAATAAAACCAAGGGAAGGAAAGGTGGAATATAAATGTAACAATGTTCCTTTCGCATTCATGGACCATTTTCCCGCTCTCATCCAGCTCCTGTTTATTTCCAGTTTATTATCACTATCTTTAAAAATACTAAGCTTTTATCATTCTTTTTCTTTCAACATTTCCTCTGGTCATTCTCCCTCAGAGATTGAAGACCTTCCGTGATCCGTCCCCCACTCTTTTACTCATTTACTTTCTCTTTTCCCACCCCAGGCTCTCCATTTCCCAGAGTGGCTGCCCAATG